TATGCCTCTTCAATCTCTCACTCTTATTTGACACGTTCAGTTATTTCTGACAAACTTGAAATTCCAAAAGTAAAACTAAGCTCAACTAAAAACAGTTTAACATATTCATTAGTAAAACACTGGAAATGATCTTCCAATTTCCATTAAAACATTAACATCAAGAAATCGCTTCAAGCTTACCCTAAAACAATTTCTTTTAAATAATTGAACATCAATTTTATTGTTATTTCTCTATCATTCAATTTACAGTATTGTCATTTCACTATTACCACCATATTTCATATAATTTTTCTCCTTATGTATTATGTACTCTTAAACAATATATTAATATGATTTATGAATTCACTGTCCTTATCAGTTTTTTTCTGCTATCAGTGAATATGCAAGGGCTAGAGACTAGATTAGTTCTACTAGAACTACCTCTCTTGTCCTCGCCAGATAGTTATGTATATCTCTATCTTCGTTTTGTACTTTGTAATGTAATTTATCTGGTGAAATAAAATTGTATTGTATTGTATTGTATTGTATTGTTATTGTAAATATGTATTGTCTCCATCAGTACACGTGGCAAAATTTCGGGTGTCTGGGTAGTTTCTACCTGTAGCATAAAAATAGTGTTGAATATTTAACACGCTTTTGTACCCCAGGTACAACACTCATACCTGTCAAATTTGTATTGGTCCAACAATAAAGCATATTTACTGGTAAGTCAAATAAACAAAATAAAACAAATGAGCATCATCAATACCCTTACAATCCAAGGAAGAATTACACAGCAATCATTCCAGCATTAGTATAGTTACACATTCTGCCAAAAAGCATAATTGCAAACTATGAATATATAATTAAGTGGATGTAAATAGTCTGGTGATAATAGCTATAATAGCGAAATATATAGTGGCATTTATCAGAAATATAAAACAAGCAGCCTATCGGCTGAGATAGCTCCGCTGTTAGCAATGCACATTTCAATTAAAGAACTGAAGACATCATTAGAAAATGAACAATATGAATAGTATCAAAGCAATCGGACTTACAGTTTTTAACAAGAAGTCGAAAATATCACTATTTACCAAAAATGACAAAAATATTCACCAAAATTAGAGAACTGAAGATATCATCACAAAATAAACAAATCTGAGAAAGGTCTACATGTAGTATCTATATATGTAATATCAAAGCAATTGGACTATTGGTTTTTAACAAGAAGTCGAAAATATCATTTTTTACCAAAAATTACAAAAATATTTACCAAAATTAGAGAATTGAAGATATCATCACGAAATGAACAAATCTGAGAGAGGTCCACATGTAGTACCTATATATGTAGTATCAAATCAATTGGACTTGCGGTTTTTAACAAGAAGTCGAAAATATCACTTTTTACCAAAAATGACAAAAATATTCACCAAAATTAGAGAATTGAAGATATCAATATGAAATGAACAAACCTAAGAGAGGTCTACCCAAGGTACATATACACCAAGTATCAAAGCATTCAGGCTTGTAGTTTTCAAGAAGAAGTCGAAAAAGTAAAACATTGACACGGACGACGGACGACGACGACGGACGACGACAATCACTCGTATGATAAGCTCCGCTCGACAAAGTCGACAGCGGAGCTAAAAATAATTGTTTTTACCATTTTATTTTGTTGTAAAATATAAAAATATCTGAAAATTTACTTTAATGCATGTACTATGATGTACAAATTAAAACTAACACAAGATATATTGCATTTTCAACTCATGATAGTATCAATAATTGTTGTCTTGTCTCAATCAGCATAATTAACATATCTAGATTGGTCCCACTAACGTTCTCATAGATAATTATTTTTTTATTTCTCCTTATTGGATTTTAAATGATGTAAGAGTACATCAATGGAGCAAAAATTATCCTCTCGTGTTGAACCTGTCACAGGTAGACACTGTTTAAGGCAGTATATGTCTAAGCCTTTATTGGTCTTCTGAGATTATCTTATCTTTTGGTTTCCTCAGTAGCAGGTTTTCATTCACCTATAAAACATCTTCAGCCCTGTGGTAAATTCCTATGTAAGTTGGTCCAAGTCTATCTATCAATTTTCAAAAGCGTGTATGAGTAGTTCCACTGTGTTATAATCCTGGCCCGAGTACTACGTCAGCTCTTCACTACAATGCAGTATACCAGTTGAAATCATTCAGGTACCCGGAAAACAGGACAAGCTCCGCATATGTCTCTTACGTTCAATATGTTAGCTTTGAACAACATATATCCCCCATGTCTGCTTTTTGTCTACCACTACCACATTAAATGTATTTGAATTCCTCTTTGGCAGAAAGTTCTGTTCCAATTCAGTTGGGCTATTTTGCAAATCAATATTTGTATATTTAGGAATTTTATTCATTCTTGTGTAGTCTCACTTATTCACATATTTATAATGTGATTTTGTAAATAGTATGTACTATACATGAACGTTATTATGCATGCTGTCTGGTTGCTTAGCAACCTTGTCAGGGAAAGAGGCTAATTGACATAGTACATAGCTTTAAGTTGATAGTTTATTGTTATTGTTTCAGTATTGTGGGCATCCACAATACCTTTCAAAGTTTCACAAATGTTTGTAAACTATGGGAAACATGTTTTAAATTTATATACACACAATGAAGTTGAACTAAGTATAATTTGTCTGTCAATCATGTGAAAATAAATGGTGTCACATTAAATTATACTTGATCCTCTAAACATTATTCAGTTCTATTCATTGAGAGATTGGTTAAAAGAGTTACGTAGTGCTTTTCATATATTTGGTCCTGGAGGTATTTTATAAAGGTACTTTATTTTCAAAATTTTTCTTGGAATGATGAACATATCGAAAATCAATAAAAAAAATCCAATATAATAACATCATTGCTGCACATAACTGCAAACATTTGAGTGTCATATTTTAACAATGTAATAAAAAAATTATGACATATTAATGACTGGTGCTGTATCAAGAGTCAACCATCTCACCAATCAAATATTTGGCATGAGGTTAAAAATCGTTAAAAGGATAATGTACATGGTTCCTGAAACTAAAAATAAAAATAGTATTATATATTAATATTAATATGAAATTGAATATCACAATGAAATGCAATGTTTTCATTATATAGAGCCCCTTTAAAATTGGTGGTGATATCAGAATCCCTGATGCAAATAATTACAGTATTGTCTAATGTATATCAAGTTCACATGCTTCTAATATAATATTTATTAAAATGGGGACTGTAAGTAAGTGGTTAGCATGATGTATGAATAACATTAGTTTTTGATTCCTATTTTAGAAACATGTTGTTTAAAATTTTAGAATTGCATATACGGTAATACTGTTTGTGGAAACATGTATTATCAAGGTATCAGTGCTTGGAGTCAACAACCGAACTAACAGGATTGCGAATACAACTATGTAATATCAATGAATAAACCCATTATGACTCGATGGTTCTCGTTAGGAAATCCTGGTCACTTTGATTACCACACCAATGGTGTTATCTTACGTAACTAAATAGACTTGTGGCTAAATGTTAACAAGACGAAATGTTAGCAAGTGTCATACATGTCATTAAATGCAGATGACACACAAAATGACCTCCAATTACGCTAATTGAGTGGGCAAATATTTATGAATCATAGACGAAGTCTCGAAATGTGCCACTAAGGCACACAGGAATAGCTATATAATAATAATAAAAATAATAATAATAAGACAAAGGTTGTGTTCCTACCTGAGAGAAATTACATGTTATTACTAAATACATGATTATGTGGTACTTTCCATATAATCACAGTCCCTCAACAAAGATATAAAACATATTAAAATTGTCTGCTAACATATCAATACTGCAGAAGTAGTACAAATGTAATGTTACCACGAGAGTCATTGGAAGAAGATGTCAGCACACCAAATGTTTCCACTTAGGACTGTAAAATGTCTCATACACTACATATTGCGTTAACTAATGACATCAACACCATGATTCTAATTCTGATAACCTGCTTTGTTTGAAATATTGGCAGACAAGTTTTGTTTTAAATGTTGAAAGGCCAGCTTGGTTGGAAATGTTGATAGGCCAACTTAGTTGGAAATGTTGATAGGCCAACTTGGTTGGAAATGTTGGAAATGTTGAAAGGCCAGCTTGGTTGGACATGTTGAAAGGCCAACTTGGTTGAAAATTTTGATAGGCAAACTTGGTTGGAAATGTTGAAAGGCCAACTTGGTTGGAAATGTTGAAAGGCCAGCTTGGTTGGAAATGTTGATAGGTCAACTTGGTTGGAAATGTTGATAGGTCAACTTGGTTGGAAATGTTGAAAGGCTAGCTTGGTTGGAAATGTTGATAGGCCAACTTGGTTGGAAATTTTGATAGGCCAACTTGGTTGGAAATGTTGAAAGGCCAACTTGGTTGGAAATGTTGAAAGGCCAGCTTGGTTGGAAATGTTGATAGGCCAACTTAGTTGGAAATGTTGATAGGCCAACTTGGTTGGAAATGTTGATAGGCCAACTTGGTTGGAAATGTTGAAAGGCCAGCTTGGTTGGAAATGTTGATAGACCAGCTTTTTTCCAAACTAATTCTGATAGACCAGCTTTGTTTGAAATGTTGATGGACAAGTTATATTATGTATAACCAACATAGTGTTCCTTGCAACAAAAGCACATTGTCACTTCTAACTTTGGAACAATGAAATGTAATTTTTTTATGAAACTAATGTGGTGGAGCATTGGCTGTTGTGACCTTCAAACTGATACCAAAACAAATAAAAATAATATTTCCTAGAAATAGCAAGAAAAGTCTATTCAGGAACATAACCTTTGTCCTATGTTTACATTTATTTTTATTCATACACTTTTGGCGATATTACTATTTAATTACTTAATTGTAAATTAATATTTGTTGTAGTCAGCATTATGGTAGTCCTTTTTTCAGTAGAAATATTGCTTCAGTATTGGTCCAAGTGAAAAATTAACATAGATGACACACATTCCATAACCACTAAAGTGAATTTGTTTCCAGTCTGGTATTCAATATAGCACCATTTTGGGGAAATAATATAAAGAACAGGTTCCCACACACCCTATTATTACAAGTTAAGTTGATGATAGTTTACATTGTACATATTGCCCATGAATGATTATTTTTGGTGTGTGACTTCTATTTTTGATTGTTTTACATAAGATCAAAATCAACTTACCATGACCAAAATGAGTCTTGTGAATGACGCCAATTACGATTGAGTTGCTCCATAGATCTTATATCTTCTAGAGTTATCTTAAAATCACTTATCTGTAAACAGTAAGTAAATCACAGCTTATAATTTAATCAAACTAAGTCTTGTCTTTAATGTGGAGTGGATCAGTTTCAACATTGAAGTATGTATGCAAATGACGTTACACTTCAATAATTGTTTATTTTGATTGATATCCAAGCTACTGGGTTTTATTACCACAAAGACACTGCATTATATAAAAATACTATGACATGAATATATTACCAAACGATTTATGAGTTCACTTCAGCCTTATATATATATTATGTATATATACACTTTTATAACTGCAACAAGTTGTTATTATCAGAGCATGATAGTTTCCATAAGCTGGTTCAAGTCAGTGGAGTACACTCAATGAATACTGATTTACTCAGACAGTACAACACATCACAACAATAAAAGTGTTCCAATGTAAATTTTTAAGGCATACATTTAGGGAAAGAACACAGCATATTTGATGTATACCTCAATATTCTCTTTCATCCTCTTGGGGTTTATGCTTTTCGGAATTACTGCACATCCACGATCAACACAAAATTTCAATAGAATTTGTGCCGGAGATTTTTTGTGTTTTGCAGCTATAGCTTTCACAATCGGCTCCTCTAGCATATTAGGCTCTCCTTTTACCAATCTGTAATATTGATTAAGTTATGAAAAATGAAAACTTGGTCTATAGTGTAATACATCACTTGCATTACCCACTTATTTCCAAGCAGTTCATTTAGTTACTGAGAATAAGTAGAATAAGAGAATAAGTTAATTACTATACAAGGTTGGAAGTTTTTAAAATTCACAGATGTGACCCAGCATCGTTTATTGATTACCATTGAGTCAATCAAATGCATTTAAGGACTGTGTTTAGTTTTAGAACATTGTCAAACAATGATGTCAAACGTTCAATCTGCTTACATTGACAAATGACATCACTGGGATTTCTATTACATGGAAATATTGATAATTAGCACTATATCATTTTTTACACTGGATTCTAATGATGTATTGAATAGAAATCTGATATAAGCTGTTATCACCTGAAATTACATAATACATCACAAGCAATAGTGGCATTCACGTTAGAGATCTCGGCACATGCCTAGACTTGGGGCTGAGTCTGTCGAGTCGAATCGTGCCGAATTTTTTTTATCTCGATCCTGATAGATGCTCAGACCAAATCTTGTCATGAGATTTGATTCCTGAATGTTCGACACAAGCCAAAATTACGCGCTCTGTGGTGAATTTAAGATAACATTTACTGATTCATACTAGTATGACATGACGATGGAGAGAATTGAAGCTATGAATGGGTGGTGCTGTAGTAAGGAATTAAATAAATGCAGAACGTTGTCGGTGACGCATATTTATGTGCTGCTGCAACTGTGTTTTTATTGTCAAGCTAAATCAACTGAATCTTCTTTGTCATTCATGTGCACGATGAAGAAATAAAATAACAACAAATGGATATACAATATATCAATTATTATTATCATCATATTCGTATCGTTTTCCATGTTTAGATCAAATAATAGATTGAAGAATGAGGGCGTGATTTTGGTACGAGTCCCAAGTGCGTCCTAACTAACGTGACACAACTGCTGTAATCCCTCTGCAAACACAAAAAATTACATTACGTGCCGATATTTTTTAACGTGAATGTAACATTAATGTGCACGTGGTCACATTGTTATAATGAGGCAATATGGTAATATTGAATGATGACTATTTAGATGAAATTTGATAATTCAATAGTGCACATGCATTATAAGTATTTTTCAAGATATACTTGTATATGTCAGTAGAATAACCAAAACTTAGATTTGTGGTTGGATTTTAGCGAGAATCATACAATGATTTTACTAAATGTATTTTTTTTGAAAGACAACATCAAGGGAGAAGTAATTCGTCAAGCTTCAACTTCATATTCAAATCATGTTAAATTATTTTGACTTGTAACTATGGTTACCTGACAAATTCAAATCCAATTAGAGATATAAATACCTATGTGTATTTTTACAATTTATGTATTTTTTGTTATCTACAGTTCATCATCAATACACCAATGTTTAAATGTCAGCTCTTGTAATTAGTATGTATAATTCAAAATATAAATAATTAATATGTGTAATGAGGTTAGCTTTAAGGTATTCTTTTGCCTGACAAGACATATAGATGTATCTATGCATTCACACATTATGTTTAAAATTACACTGTAACTAATGCAATATACCCACCCTGGTCTACCAAGTGCAGTGTGACAAGTAACAGTGATATTTCTTGCATAACACCACGCAATTAACTCAGTTTGAGCATTATACGGATGCACTTCAATCTGCAAATATTCAAAACTTGTGAAATTTATTAAACAATAACAGATTTGCTAACAAGAATACAATTGTCTGATGTACAGTATAATTTACCCTATAACAATTACAGTATACTTGGACCTTTAAAGTTTACTTCCTACAGTAGTCTAATGTACAGTAGACGATGACCTATAAAGTCTACTTCCTACAGTAAACTAATGTACAGTAGACGATGACCTATAAAGTCTACTTCCCACAGTAGACTAATGTACAGTACACTGTGACCTATAAAGTCTACTTCCTACAGTGGTCTAATGTACAGTAGACTATGACCTATAAAGTCTACTTCCTACAGTAAACTAATGTACAGTAGACTGTGACCTATAAAGTCTACTTCCCACAGTAGTCTTATACACAGTAGACTGTGACCTATAAACTCTACTTCCTACAGTAGTCTAATGTACAGTACACTGTGACCTATAAAGTCTACTTCCTACAGTGGTCTAATGTACAGTAGACTATGACCTATAAAGTCTACTTCCTACAGTAGACTAATGTACAGTATACTGTGACCTATAAACTCTACATGTACTTCCTACAGTAGTCTAATGTACAGTAGAATGTGACCTATAAACTCTACTTCCTACAGTAGTCTAATGTACAGTACACTGTGACCTATAAAGTCTATTTCCTACAGTAGTCTAATACACAGTACACTGTGACCTATAAAGTCTACTTCCTACATTAGTCTAATGTACAGTAGAATGTGACCTATAAACTCTACTTCCTACAGTAGTCTCATGTACAGTAGACTGTAACTTATAACGTCTACTTCCTACAGTAGACTAATGTACAGTATACTGTGACCTATAAACAGTAGTCTAATGTACAGTAGACTGTGACCTATAAACTCTACTTCCTACAGTAGTCTAATACACAGTAGACTGTGACCTATAAACTCTACTTCCTACAGTAGTCTAATGTACAGTAGACTGTGACCTATAAACTCTACTTCCTACAGTAGTCTAATGTACAGTAGACTGTGACATAAAAACTCTACTTCCTACAGTAGACTAATGTACAGTAGACTGTGACCTATAAACTCTACTTCCTACAGTAGTCTAATGTACAGTACACTGTGACCTATAAGTCTATTTCCTACAGTAGTCTAATACACAGTAGACTGTGACCTTTAAACTCTACTTCCTACAGTAGTCTAATGTACAGTACACTGTGACCTATAAACTCTACTTCCTACAGTAGTCTAATGTACAGTAGACTGTGACCTATAAACAGTAGTCTAATGTACAGTAGACTGTGACCTATAAACTCTACTTCCTACAGTAGTCTAATGTACAGTAGACTGTGACCTATAAACTCTACTTCCTACAGTAGACTAATGTACAGTAGACTGTGACCTATAAACTCTACTTCCTACAGTAGTCTAATGTACAGTACACTGTGACCTATAAACTCTACTTCCTACAGTAGTCTAATGTACAGTACACTGTGACCTATAAACTCTACTTCCTACAGTAGTCTAATGCACAGTACACTGTGACCTATAAACTCTACTTCCCACAGTAGCCTAATGTACAGTAGACTGTGACCTATAAACTCTACTTCCTACAGTAGTCTAATGTACAGTACACTGTGACCTATAAACCCTACTTCCTACAGTAGTCTAATACACAGTAGACTGTGACCTATAAAGTCTACTTCCTACAGTATTTTAATGTACAGAAGACGGTGACCTATAAACTACTTCCTACAGTAGTCTAATGTACAGTAGAGTGTGATGTAAGCATGCTTCCTAATATATGGTATATTATTTATTGCTATGCTTGTAGTCTGCACTTGAAACCATCAATATTTACCTGATTATTAACTGGTTTATATTTTGCCATATTAAGAATACGTTCCAGTTGTGCGTGATTGAAGTTGGAGACGCCAATGGAGCTGACCAAACCGTCATCGACTAACTTTTCCATTTCCTTATATCAATCACACAGTTGAGTTAAATTATGTTCCAATAAGTTATGCATGTTGCAATAAGTTAGTCATCTATCTCGACAATTAACAATTCTCAGTTTAGACTTTTCAACAGCAGGTTAATAAAACACGAGTTTCAACTACACCAGTGAAATGAAACCATTCAGACCATTGTTTTGAGTTATGATACAGTACATGTTTATCATGAAAATCAATGATTGTTACATTTTCGAAATCAATGAACTATACCACAATATATATGTAATTACATGCATGTGACACTAATAACAATAATAGAACAAACCAATAGTTGTTCAGCTGTTCGGGTACGCATTGGCCAATAGTTGTTCAACTGTTCAGGTACTCATTGGCCAATATTTGTTCAGCTGTTCAGGTTTTTATTGGCTAATAGTTGTTCAGCTGTTCAGGTACGCATTGGCTAATTGTTCTTCAGCAGTTCAGGTACGCATTGGCTAATAGTTGTTCAGGTGTTCAGGTACGCATTGGCTAATTGTTCTTCAGCTGTTCAGGTACTCATTGGCCAGTGGTTGTTCAGCTGTCCAGGTACTCATTGGCCAGTGGTTGTTCAGCTGTCCAGGTACTCATTGGCCAATAGTTTTTCAGCTCTTCAGGTACGCATTGGCTAATTGTTCTTCAGCTGTTCAGGTACGCATTGGCTAATAGTTGTTCAGCTGTTCAGGTACGCATTGGCTAATTGTTCTTCAGCTATTCAGGTACTCATTGGCCAGTGGTTGTTCAGCTGTCCAGGTACTCATTGGCCAATAGTTGTTCAGCTGTTCAGGTACTCAATGGCCAATAGTTGTTCAGCTGTTCAGGTACTCATTGGCCAATAGTTGTTCAGCTGTTCAGGTACTCATTGACCAATATTTGTTCAGCTGTTTAGGCTTTCATTGGCTAATAGTTGTTCAGCTGTTCAGGTATGCATTGGCTAATTGTTCTTCAGCTGTTCAGGTACTCATTGGCCAATAGTTGTTCAGCTGTTCAGGTATGCATTGGCTAATTGTTCTTCAGCTGTTCAGGTACGCACTGGCTAATAGTTGTTCAGCTGTTCCGGTACGCATTGGCTAATTGTTCTTCAGCTTTTCAGGTACTCATTGGCCAATAGTTGTTCAGCTGTTCGGGTACTCATTGGCCAATAGTTGTTCAGCTGTTCAGGTACTCATTGGCCAATATTTGTTCAGCTGTGCAGGTTTTCATTGGCTAATAGTTGTTCAGCTGTCCAGGTACTCATTGGCCAATAGTTGTTCAGCTGTTCAGGTACTCATTGGCCAATAGTTGTTCACATGTTCAGGTACTCATTGGCCAATGGTTGTTCAGCTGTTCAGGTTTTCATTGGCCAATCGTTGTTCAGCTGTTCAGGTACGCATTGGCTAATTGTTCTTCAGCTGTTCAGGTACTCATTGGCCAATAGTTGTTCACCTGTTCAGGTACTCATTGGCCAATAGTTGTTCAGCTGTTCAGGTACCCATTGGCCAATAGTTGTTCACCTGTTCAGGTACTCATTGGCCAATAGTTGTTCAGCTGTTCAGGTACTCATTGGCCAATAGTTGTTCAGCTGTTCAGGTAATCATTGGCCAATAGTTGTTCAGCTGTGCAGGTACTCATTGGCTAATAGTTGTTCAGCTGTTCAGGTACTCATTGGCCAATAGTTCTTCAGCTGTTCAGGTACTCATTGGCCAATAGTTGTTCAGCTGTTCAGGTATGCATTGGCTAATTGTTCTGCAGCTGTTCAGGTACGCATTGGCTAATAGTTGTTCAGCTGTTCAGATACTCAATGGCCAATAGTTGTTCAGCTGTTCAGGTACTCATTGGCCAATAGTTGTTCAGTTGTTCTGGTTTTCATTGGCCAATAGTTCTTCAACTGTTCAGGTACTCATTGGCCAATAGTTCTTCAGCTGTTCAGGTACGCATTGGCCGATAGTTGTTCAGCTGTTCAGGTATGCATTGGCTAATTGTTCTGCAGCTGTTCAGGTACTCATTGGCCAATAGTTGTTCAGCTGTTCAGGTACTCATTGGCCAATAGTTGTTCAGCTGTTCAGGTACTCATTGGCCAATAGTTGTTCAGCTGTTCAGGTACTCATTGGCCAATAGTTGTTCAGTTGTTCAGGTACTCATTGGCCAATAGTTGTTCAGCTGTTCAGGTATGCATTGGCTAATTGTTCTGCAGCTGTTCAGGTACGCATTGGCTAATAGTTGTTCAGCTGTTCAGGTACTCATTGGCCAATAGTTGTTCAGCTGTTCAGGTACTCATTGGCCAATAGTTGTTCAGCTGTTCAGGTACTCATTGGCCAATAGTTGTTCAGCTGTTCAGGTATGCATTGGCTAATTGCTCTTTAGCTGTTCAAGTACGCATTGGCTAATAGTTGTTCAGCTGTTCAGATATTCATTGGCCAATAGTTGTTCAGCTGTTCAGGTTTTCATTGGCCAATAGTTGTTCAGCTGTTCAGGTACTCATTGGCCAATAGTTGTTCAGCTGTTCAGGTACTCATTGGCCAATAGTTGTTCAGATGTTCAGGTACTCATTGGCCAAATGTTGTTCAGCTGTTCAGTTACGCATTGGCTAATAGTTGTTCACCTGTTCAGGTATGCATTGGCTAATTGCTCTTTAGCTGTTCAAGTACGCATTGGCTAATAGTTGTTCAGCTGTTCAGATATTCATTGGCCAATAGTTGTTCAGCTGTTCAGGTTTTCATTGGCCAATAGTTGCTCAGCTGTTCAGATATTCATTGGCCAATAGTTGTTCAGCTGTTCAGGTTTTCATTGGCCAATAGTTGTTGAGCTGTTCAGGTACACATTGGCCAATATTTGTTCAGCTGTTCAGGTATGCATTGGCCAATAGTTGTTCAGCTGTTCAGGTATTCATTGGCCAATAGTTGTTCAGCTGTTCAGGTATGCATTGGCTAATTGTTCTTCAGCTGTTCAGGTACTCATTGGCCAATAGTTGTTCAGCTGTGCAGGTACGCATTGGCCAATAGTTGTTCAGCTGTTCAGGTATTCATTGGCCAATAGTTGCTCAGCTGTTCAGATATTCATTGGCAAATAGTTGTTCAGCTGTTCAGGTTTTCATTGGCCAATAATTGTTCAGCTATTCAGGTACACATTGGCCAATAGTTGTTCAGCTGTTCAGGTATGCATTGGCCAATAGTTGTTCAGCTGTTCAGTATTCATTGGCCAATAGTTGCTCA